GACTATAATTTTTAAAAATAAAATTAATAATAATAATAATAATAATAATAATAACTGCATTTATATAGCGCTCTATCCCATACTAGTATAAGCTCTGTGCGTTTTACAAACATTTCCCTTGTTCATCCCACGTTCACACAAATTAACTTCCTGTCAGCCTCTCGTAGAGATAAAATTCATTGCTAGACTAGCATCGATTTCTTTATAATTAGCCCCTTGGCCTGGCTCGCTCTGAGTCTCTTCCGTCCAGCCTGTAACCACACGTCGTAATCTTAAGACCCTCTTTGTTAGGCCCATTTCTCTGCAAGTATACAGCGCCCGTTTAGTTTTTCTCTCTGTTGCTCCTGAGGAAGCCCAAGAGGCGAAACGTTGAGCTGTGTCTATTACGCAAATTTTGAACTTTTTATATTGTTATGTTATTTTATCTGAAATTCAAACTAGACTCCCCCTCCTACTCTGTATATCAAACAATGATGATGATGATGATGATGATGATGATGATGATGATGATGATGATGATGATGATGATGATACGACGACGACGACAACTACAGTGTCGAAAGGGCCCATAAAACCCATGCATCTGTCCCGTTTCAGGTCGGCCCGTTTAATAGAGACGAGAGTGGAGCTGGTGTGTGACCCCGAGAGAGAAGGCTTGACCGACGGACTCTTCACCGTGGTCGCTCGCAAGGACCGGGGCAAACTAGGCATTTACAACGTGAGTGGCGAGCTGAGATTATGGTGATTGTGCTTGGAAGTGGCAAAGATTGTGGTAGGAAGTGGCAAAGATCGTGGTTGGAAGTGGCAAAGATTGTGGTTGGAAGTGGCAAAGATTGTGGTTGGAAGTGGCAAAGATTGTGATCTGAGAAGCGAAGATTTTGAATGTGAGTAGCAAACTAAGATTGTGGTTGGAAGTGGCAAAGATTGTGGTCGGAAGTGGCAAAGATTGTGGTTGGAAGTGTCAAAGATTGTGGTTGGAAGTGGCAAAGATTGTGGTTGGACGTGGCTAAGGTTGTGACAAAGATTGTGGTTAGAAATGGCAAAGATTGTGGCAAAGAATGTGGTTGGAAGTGGCAAAGAATGTGGTTGGAAGTGGCAAAGATTGTGCTCTGAGAAGCGAAGATTTCGAATGTGAGTAGCAAACTAAGATTTTGGTTTGGGGTGGCAAAGATTGTGATTGAAAGTAGCAAAGGTTATAACTGAGAGTAGCGAAGGTTTTGATTGAGAGTAGCAAAGATTGTGATTGAAGGTGTCAACTGTTATGATTGAGAGTAGCAAAGATTGTGTTCTGAGAGGCGAAGATTGCGAATGAGAGAGCAAAGCTGGTGAATGTAAGTAACTAGAGGTGATATTAAATATGACTTACAAAATTGTAAATATAAGGGAACTAAATTATTGTTCATGTAAGTAACAAAGGTTGTGACTGTGGTAATCAAAGATTGTGCATGTGAGTAACAAAGATTGTGACTATAAAAAGCAAAGATTGTGCTCGTGGGTAACTAGAAATGTGAATGTAAGTAGCGAAGTCTATGTATCTGTCTGTCTGTCTCTGTCACTGTTTCTGCACCACCACCA